TTCCGGGCAGTGGCAGTGTAGCTCTCAACTACCATTTGTGTTTTCATCTTTTAGCCATCCTTTTTCTCCCCCTTTACAAGAAGTACCAAATATGCCATGTGTAAATTTCACTCCTTACAAAAATCTTAGGAAATATCTTACTAGTTGTAAAAAATGCGGTACCAAGCTCAGTTTGCTTGTCTCATATTTTGTCTTACAATGAATAATCAAAGAAATTTTAAGATGGAAGAAGCAGCAAATTAAACAGTGTCCTAAGATAAGACACGTCTAGGTAAAAAGGTCAAGAAAGCTAAGGAGTAACTGATCCATTAATTGCCAGATGGAAGTTTTACATAAACAGATTCACAGGGAAAAATGCTCGGGATATCTGCAAAAAAAAGCGGCCAGCAGGTGATTAGCAGTGAGGTTGTTCTTTGAGAACAGAAGGCAGTCTGAAAGAGGAGCCTTGTGGCAGAGACTGTCAAGCTTTGAAGGCAATTGATGCATTTTTCTTAAGACCCACGTATGTAGGCTTTTGTTCTTGTAACTCTTTTCTCTGCGTGCTGCGGACCTTTATAGATCAACACCATATTTTGTGGTGTTTGGAACTGAACAAATTCTCTTGCTTTAATCTGCTGCCTACCCTAGACATGCAGGGGAAGTTCCTTGAGGCTGCTGAACGCAGGGGCCAGCCTTGCTGGCCAGGCGCGAAGGCAGCCATCAGCGCTGTGGCAGATGTGCACAGACTGCCCACGGTCACCCTGGAGAAACACCTGGTGGGAGTGTGGCTGAAGGGTAGGATATGCCGAAGGCACAGACTGTATTCTAACCCTGGGACTTTGCTGCTCACAAATCCTGCATTCGTTTTTGCAGATTTTCTAATTGACAGGCATGATGAATCCTTGCAGTTCCACCTGCTGAGGAGACAAGTGCCTTATGTCTAATCTAGTTGATTAGACTACCTTGCAGTAGCCCAGAGGCACAAATCTGTACAGCTGAACTGCTGTAGTGAAAGAAATTGAGTGTATAGTGAGCGAGGGCACAGTAATGAAAGGTAAAGAGGCTTGTTTTCTCACAAGGTAAGGGAGGATCTAGGGGGGGGTTGTTTGTTTTTAAATCGACTGTTTAACAAATGCATAGAAATCCCTTGGCTCTTCAGGGAGTATCTGTGCGATGGTGATGTGAAAAATGTGTGGATGTGTTTTGCTGAGACTGTCTTCTCTATGAAAGTGGAATGACATGTAGATTGCTGAAATGCTGTAAATTAGCATGGAGCAAGTGTCTTGACTTCATTTGTGCCAAGTGACTTTCAGTCACTGAGATTACAGGCATTTGAGCAGGGACTACTGTTGACACTTGGCATGCAGCAGAAATGAAAGCTCCGAGCACTAAGTTAAATTTTCTCAAACACCTTAATGACTTACCAGCTCACGCTCAATATTGAGTCATTTGGAAGTTCCAATTAAGTATCAGAGCCATTCTTCAAAAATTGCTGTGAAATATCTATCATACTGTGTTTGATTCTAATGCTGGTGTTGAAATACTGTAGAAAGAGGTGTGCTAGTGAAATGTGTTTTGCCTGTAACTTCTCAAGTGCCTTAAACATTCAGTTGCCCACCTTCTACCGAGGTGGATTGCAAAGGAATGGTCGATGCTTGTTAAAAGCATCTGCTTCAAGTGAAGTGATCCAGATAAGAAGTACTGCTGAGGGCATTCGTTTATTTAGGTACTTGAATCACAAGTATAAACCCCCTTCTGTAGCGCTACATGTGAGATGATAAAACCTGAGCTTTGTTTTAACTCTTAAGATCTTACTTCATCTGCAGGTTAATTTAAAATACAAGTGATACAAAGCCAAACATAATAATGTAATATACATTAACTCAGCTGGTTTATTTCATACAGTCTATTCCAGAATGGCTATTTGTTGTACCACCTTCAAACTGAAAAAAAAAAAAAAAAAAAAAAAAAAAGAAAAAGCCAAAAATGCATTTTAATAAGTTAAAATAATTAGAGTGATACAATATAAAAGCACTATAAAGTCACCTGCCTGCTGGTGACAATAGTTTTTCTGTCTTGCCAACTGATGCCAGAACCCTGTGTCCTGATATGCTTACTGTTAGGCTCTCTTAGTGCAGGGGTTGCGTTATTTCATGGCTGGAGGAAGGAGTCTGGGATTATTCTATAGTTTTTGAATACCCTGACCGATAGCAACTCAAATGTTTCTCAATCTCTTTCCTGGCAGCTGAAGATCCATTTGCGCTGGGTATGTGCTTCTGATGTGATACCTCCAGGAGAAAAATACAGTTAAATTGTCAGGTAGTCCCTAGTGTTTTATTCTGAAATAAAATATGGTACAGCTAGAGCAGTGCAGCATTCTGAAAGAGCCTGTTCAGAAAGAGTAGCCACCACTTACCGAAACAGTGTTTCAGAATCAGCTTGACTTTGAGCCGACTTCTACCTGTCCCTTCAAGAGCTGCAAGGCGCCTGTCCCAACAGTAGGTGCGAACAGGAGGCTTCACTCCTCTTCGTCTAAACTGGTCCACTGAGGTGAACAACTGTGGAAGATGAAATAATATTAGCAGTTAGGGTGAGCTCTGTAAAGATAAGTGACAACCTACTAATTTACCTCTAATGAGCACAATTGCAATAGTTCTTCTGTTTCTGCAGAGCTTGCCAACAACCAGAATTAGGAAATTCCCCCAGGTAGAGCCATGGTTCTACTCCTGCCCAGGAAGTTGTGCAGACGTCAGTCCAGAAAGCCTGTGGAGCTGCCCTATGGGTTAGGTTTGCTTTATCCCCTAAGGAAAACCCATACACTGAACCTTTCAGGCCATTCTCTGAAAGGCTGAAGAGACAGAGCTAATAAAAACAGCTCAGCCCTGAGGGTTTACAGGTACATCACTTTTTCTTGCGCAAGCAAAAAGAAAAAAAATTCACAGAAATCTTAATTTTATTCTAACATATTTTCAGTGATGACAATGTGCTGAAAAAAATGACATTAACAAATAGTGTCTGAATAACACTGACATTTCTCCTCTCACTTCTCGAGTATAAGTTTTAGAATAACAGGCACTAAAACAAAAACCTTTACCTCTAAAAGACAATGTGTCCTAACAGATGTGTTTGAAGATTATCTTGATCTTGCTGCCTTGCTATATCACTATTTCAATCTCTGTTCTTTCCCCAAAAAGTATCTGTATAGATCTTAAATTTATCTAACATATATATTTCTTTCAATGGTATCTTTTGAAATCGTATTTTAAATGTCTTCTGAAGCATTTATTTGTGTGCAGGAGTGTTAATTCCACCTTTTGCGATGTCTTCCTGCTAGTCTTTCCACAGGTTTTTGTTTGTTTTCCCATTCAGTAATAACTAACCCTTTCTGAAATGTGTTTTCATCAAGTAGGTTCTTTTATTCTTCTCTTCCCATATAATCCAAGACTGAACCACTCACCTTTTCTTTGTTTCAGATGTTTAAAACCTGGATTCTCCTAGGTTCAGCCAGCTCAGATTTCTGTATCATTTCTGTGGGGTGAAAAGAGCAGAGAACTGGTGAACGGGTTAAACTTTTAATAAGCATAAACCTTGGATGAAAACATCAGTAACATTTATGGAAATATGCCAGTTTACATCCATGGAGGATGTAAAGATATGTTACAGCAGAGTGAACAGAGGCCATGGCCTTGCACAGAAAGAGCAACACTGCTTTTTCTCATTTCAGTATGTTGGTCTTTTACAATGTGTTATTCAAAGAGTTTTCTACTCCCAGATCTCTTCTTAGTTTTGGTTTGTTCTGTTTAATCTCTGCTTTTACTCGTATTTGTAATTAATATTTTATTGGAGTTTTCACAAGAAAGAATATGCAGATATAAAACAAGATGCAGCATCAATAATGAACAGATACCAGGATGTAATAGCATCAAGCCTTGGCAACAGGCAAAGTTTCCCAACACAGCCTTATTTGCAGCTTCCCCTTTTTATAGATAAATGCTATTAGTGGATACAGTCAGCTGATGGAGGCATTAATTTTATGCTGCTGTCTAGCTCTTGTCACTTAGGACTCCCTGATACCATTTGAGTTGTCAAAGCCTACCACCTACCTTTATTAGTTCACACTGCTAAAGGATGATATTGCCCATTCATCTTTCTCACAGGTCTGTCAAAATTAAATTCTGAATTGCTGCATTACATTATTAGGGTTGTATATAACTTGGAATTTTCGAGAGGACATACTCTCTAGTCTCATGGCAAGCTTGCTTCCTTTCCTGTTCTTCCTTCTTCTAAAGAAATCCCTAACATACTTCCAATCGGAGTTGAAAAAAATAGTTTGCATAAGCTAACCTTTGCATGTCTTTGGCCATACGTGTTGTCACTGAGGCCTGGAAGAGCAGTACTTTGAGAGAAACCCAGACTAGCTGGCATTTTTTTCCAACCTCTGCTGGTATGTGCATCAGCACACACACACACACGGTAACATGAGGTATCCTGAAGCATGGCTGGTCTGTTCTCTCCTGCCATGTGTTGTTAAATAATAGGTAGTGTTTATATTGCATACACTGCGTTTTGTTTAGCCAGCTCAAATTTGGTGCTTGACCTTTGTTTTTATGAACCTTCATTAATCATTCTGTTGCTGCTGAACTTCAGTGGTTATTCCTCTTCCTTTCCTCCCCTCTTGCCTTTCATTTTTGGTATTATTCTCAGATGAAACGCTGTAATCAGAATTGATAGCAATTATTAAGACTTAATCCTGCTTCCTGCTAGAACTGTACACCTTGCTCTTTTGAAGACCCACAATGCATGAACATGGAGGCTAAAAAGGCACATGATGAGACTAGAGTGAATTGTGTTCCCATACTTTCTAGCTGCTAGTTAATCAACAACTCCCGCTGGTAAAAGTTAATTTACTTTAATACTTGTTAATTTAAAACAGCTTTTAAAACATTGTGGTGCTTGCTGCATGGAAGGAAACAATTTACTTGTCTTGGGGCCACACATCACCTTTGTGCTTCCTCTTGCAGAACGTCTATTACACAAGCAATCAGCAGCTCCACGTGGGTGTTCTGAGTCCTACTATCGATGACGATGACAACAGATGCCTGGTGGATGTGAACAGCAGGCCCAGGCTCATTGAATGCAATTACGCCAAAGCCAAAAGAATGAAGCTTTACTGGCAGTTTACTCAGGTAATCCTTACTCAGTGGGTATTTCAGAAAGTTAAAAAGCTTTGTTTCCGCTTGCTTTCTGTACCTGAAATAGGAGCAATCTGTCCAGTAACAAAACAAAACGAGTGCACAGTTCCAGGCACTTACTTTTACATTTGATCCCACTATCAGCTAACTACCTCGGAAGATTTTACATATAACTTCCGTAACAGGCTTCCAGGGTTACAATCTGTGATTTACTTTCCAGTTTCTAAGACAGAACTACTGTTTTAAAAGTATCTCAATGCAATTTAGAAGAATCAAGTGCAGAGTAATCTATTTAGCAGTAAGGAAAGTAAAGTTTATGCTGGTGTTACAGGAGTTTTTGTTTTTTCTTCCTTTCAGAAAGAAAGAAAAGGATATAGAAAGACAGGGATGGTAACATGCTTCTAAGGAGGTAGTTGTACAACCTCTTCCTTAAGACAGCTACTGCATTTTTGGCACTATAAAAAGAGCAAATAAAGGCTGAAATGTGCTTCCACATGCTGGTAAGATACAGCCCGGTGTTTACACACTACAAATCATTTGTAAATACAGGGAGAGCTTAAATAAGCAAGCAAACAGAAAGACAAAATATTCTATGGCTAAAAACCATGCACTATGATATACTGTTTACAGAGATGTTAGATAACCTCGCTAGGTTAGCCGAGTGGAGGTGGTGGGCTGACTTAAACAGATGCGTATTTCTGAAGAGGGAGATAAGTTGCCTTGATGGCACAACAGGCACCAGTGGATTGGAACCAGTTGAATAATTCAGTCTTTCAAAAGGTGATGCAATTTTCTTAATTATTGTAATACTAGAAGTTTACCATGTGATATAATGGATAAATAAAGTGAGACTGCAATACCTTTTAAAACAAGTACTTTGTGCAGTTTGTGGAAAAACAATTAATGGCTGGTGGATGCTGGAAGTCAAGATATCTTTTATGCCTATTCATTACGTTTAGTGTTTCTGTTGTTGTTGCTATTTGTTTTTGATTTGACCATCCGTGACTACTGTATCTTAGGACATGGGTGGTGTCCAGCTTAGTGCAGCGGTCATTTGAATACGGGTCAGTCAAACCTAGTGTTAACGTTAGTATCTGTAACTAAAAGTAATCTGTAATCTCTGTCTTGAAAGGGTAGCAGTCAAAATACCTCCTCTGGAAGGACAGTGCAGCTTTCATTTCCAGTCTTTTCTCTTTTGGCAGTTCTGTGTCTTCTCTCAAATTTCAGAGGTGGCTTTGTTATGGTCAAATGCTCTTCATTTTTTTTCTTGCCCATTTATTTACACTGTATTTGAGTAACATTTCTGTACTGTTCATCTGTTAACGTTTGATGTTGGCTGTACTGAGCCTGACCCTTTGGTGACAAGAATTTCTGTATCAGGGTACAGCCGCATTTTGTCATACTAATTATGCTAGATCTGATTCAGGGATACCTCAATAGACTGCCCTGATAATTTAACTACCAGAAAATGCTTCAGAAATAGTATTTAGCTGAATTTATTTCCATCCCATGTCCCAAATGCAGTGTCCCGCTGAAGGTACAGTGCTAAGTACTAGCACTGTAGAGACTTTGACAAAAGGAAGTCTTACATAAAGAAACTTCTGTCCAAGAGCAGGGAAAACTAGTTTGATGGTTTTTTTTTTCTGTACAATAAATTAAGAGACACATGAGGTGATTAACGAAATCCTTTTTGAACAAGATTTTAGTTATGCCAAATGCAATTAAAATGTTATTTCTCAAAAGACAGCATGGTGCACAACCCCCATTATGCATGCTGTATGCTAGCAGAAAACTAATGAGAATAATGAGGAATTGCCAATATCAACTCATGCACTGCATGTGAAGTTCTCCCATTCAGTCTGGTAGAAGGGTGTTTCCCTGAATGCACTAAAAGTGCTTTATCTGAAATTAGGTCTTTTTTTTATTACACTATGAATGCTTTGGTATTTCTTTTCAATGTTATTCAATGAAAGGAACTATTGCAAAATAAGATGGATTAAGTTTATTGATGCCTTTGTAGTCCTGCAGCTGATGAAACTGAAGCTGATACTAATTATAATGTAGCTGTTGACCATACCTTTTTACAGTACTTTCTCTTGAATGCAAGCACACTTAGACTTGTGTAGATTCCCTGGTGTGAATTCTCAGGGGAGAATTGTCTCAGAAAGGAAATGGGAAGCAGGTAAGACTTAAAAAGCTGGAGGAGGATAAACAAATTGAACCACATTTCTCTGACCAGCACAAAAATCAATATATTTGCCCTGTGCAGCAGAGATAGATATGAATTGCTTCAGACATTTGAATGAGGAAGAGTTCTCATTTTCTTGAGCAATCCTGTATTCTCAGCAACAGCATGAAAGTCTGCGATGTGACATGGACTTCAGCCTGGTTCGTATCAGACCCTGCACGTTTTCTGAAAATGTCCTGTTGAGATTAGATTTGTTCCTCCCCACTTACAGTGGTGAAAAGGGATGATGAGTAATATCCTTATGACAAAAGTAGAAAAATATGCATCATCCTTAGCTGCTCTCTACTTCATTCTGTATATATATTACAGGATTATTTTTGCAGCTTAGTCTTTGAAGGACTAGAACCGTATGAATACATCAAATTTGTCTTTTTAATTATTCACTTTATAATTTTCATTTTTATCTAGTTGTGTGAGTTATCTTCAACTGCAGCCAACTGGATTCAGATATTCAGGAATGTCCCACTGCTGTACTGTGCACAGTGGTTTCACAGGCATTCCCATGGAGGGGGACAGCTCCCCTCATGGCCAACTTCACAGCCTGTAGATATTTTCATTGTGTGCAGAGCTGGCTGCTGGACAGGGCCTTAGGAGACCACGTGGTAGCTTTTTCTAATGGCTTGCGCAGAGCATTCCAAGTATGGTATTAGGGGTTTGTATGATCAGGGCCCATGGGATCTGATTGTGCGCAGGCTGCCAGGCTCCACAGCTTCGGGCAGCAGCTATATGCAGTGGGAACAAAGGGGCAGACTTTGTGACACTCCTGCCTCTAAGGCTGCTTCAGGTGTTTCTATCTGTAATTATGTCAAGTTTTGTAAATTAGGACTGAAAAGACTCCCTCCAAATTTACAGTGTTTGAGTTTTATTGCTCAGGATCTATGTCAGGTGTAGGGCATGCTAGCGAAATGCTGATTTTGGGAATACTGTTATGCTGGTCTTACACGTTTGACAGATCACCTATTTCTGTATGTCTCACCACTTCATCATTAATCAGAACAGAAACAGACCTTTTAGCAGAGTAGTAAGTGATCACCACAAATTATACATGGCAGAGAAGACAGAGACAGGAGTTATCTCATGGCAAAAGGGTCAGCATTTTATTAAAATGTTAATTTAAAGAAGATAGGAAAGAACCTGCTTGGGCATCATGAATTTTACGGGAAGTGAGAACTACCTTCGGTTGTCACGGAATTCCCTTGTTTTAATCCTTAGTCCTCCCAGTATTTCCTAGATCTACTTAATTACTACAGTTCTTCTGGGGACAAATTAAATTGCAGGCCTGGAAAAGAGCTGACGCTGGCACAAAATGATTCATCCTACTTGTTCCCTGTGGCTGTTCATGGCCAGTGGCAGGTACACAGGCCACTTGCCGGCAGCAGCACTCTGCTCCCTGGAGGCTGAATGGGGGTGTCAGGGCTGCTGCACACACACATGGTGACCACGGCGCTTGCACTCACAAAATCCACTGATGCTGTGACCGCCAGATTTTCTGGTGCCACATTTTGCATATGCCAAAGGGAACCGGTGCTCTGACAGAGAAGGGACTCTGACAGCTAGGAGAAAGGAGGCCAGTGCTGCCAGCTCTACTTTTCCTGAGGACATCTCCTAGTAGAAAATGTTTGTGTGTGGACAAAACTATGATTCATTCTTCTGAACTTATGCTCTCTGATACTAATAATTTTACACATTCTATATACTAAGAATGCATGTATTCTAAATGCTGCAGTCAGTCATCTCCTATTTTTTAAAAATTCCTCAGACTGACATGATTTTTCAGGTTTCTTGCTGAGAGAGAGGCAGTTATGATATAGAGCATGATCTGTGAGTAAAACTCATCTGTGCCTGTATCACCTACTGCATGACAGGAGTTTTATGTGCAGGAGGTTTAGAAAGCAAACTTCGGGCATGTTGAAGTAGAGCACCACTGCGGTCTTCCTCAGGCTGACTCTCCAGCAGTATACAAAGGCACAAGGGAGATGTTTGTCTGCAGTTATTCTGACCTGGTAACCTCTTTTATCAACTGCACATGTATATTAAGTTGGGTAGGAGTGGATTTTCAGAGAGGAAAACCTGACCAAAAGATCATTTTGGACTTTACATGTTATGAAAAACTGTGATCCTAGTCTGTGTCGGAGGTTTCCACAGGAAAAACTTCTATTCAGAAGTGTTCAGAGCTAGGCCATCTTACGCAAGTAACAGCTGTTGCTAGCAACTGTAGTTGTTGTACGTGCAATTTCTCCAAAAATACCACAGTGGAATTGGCTGTGGTAAGAATGGAGAAGACAGAAGGGAACAAATGAGTTAGTGAACTCTAACAATATTCCACTGATACTATGAAGCGCAGTCATTCATATCTCATATGTCATTTCAATAGATACTCCATGTAGTTATACAAGGAAAGAATAGATTGAATTACTGAAAGTACTTACCCCTTATTCCTAGTTCCTATTGTGGCATTTACAAGATAGGATCATAAGTTATTCTCACCTGTTTGTATCTATGCAATTAACTGATGTGCAGTGCTAGCTGGTGCCGTCACCCACAAGCCATCTCCCAAACAAGGGAATGCAGCATCCACATTGCATGGTAGGATCAAACTGGACACCTGTGAACCAAGCAGAGAATTTTTGTACTAACTTAATACACGCTCTTGCTGAGCATGCAGATTGCAGGCACATTATTATTAAAGTGGTGACAAGGAACAAATTAACAGTTGTCACTACCTTCTTAATAGCTACTCCCATTT